ATAATAATATCATTATGATAAAATTTGTCAAAAAAACTCTGTTATACATCCCGTAAAAAATATTAATAATATTTACGTAATAATCAATGGATTATCTCGGGAAATTCTCTTGCATCGACTTACCAAGCAGCAATTGTCCACAAGATGTGAACATGAGCAGATTTGAATCGTCTTTGGCTTCGGAAGCCGCCCGCAGATCCTGCTGATTCTCTGAACGGCTTGATAACTGTTGTTGCTGCAGCTGTTGCTTTTCCGGGATAAGGACATCTTTTGAGTGTTTTGATTCCAGGTAACTCTCTGGTTTCAGTTCCGAATTTACGGAATCCTTCGATTCCTTCGAATGACTCGAATTTTGACTTCTCACCGTAGAATCAAGCACAATCGTCGCTGTATCTTCCATGATTTTTTACCAAGTAAATCAATCGTACATCACTGTTTTTTATAATAATGTCATGTTCTTCTGAATTATTATTCTTGGTCAGAATAATTTTTATAATAATCACTGAGTGATACTATCTATTCACAATATTATTTAAAACTCATGAAGGCCCAAAACATAATAATGTCTAAATTGCGGTCGTTTTCTGGTTGATTTGCAAAATTTTCATGTGTTATTTCGAGCACAGTCTTTCGTTAATCTATTTTTATATATGAGTTATTTTTATATGGAATGCTGATTTCAATTTAATTCAATTTAATTCAATTAAGAATTATTATCATAGGATCTTTATAATCACAATTTGGTCATATATTCTCTTAAATTTATTCAACTTTATGTATCTTAGCATATATGTATATTTATTTTACAGATAGAAATAAAAAGAAAATTCAATTATTGTAGATTATCGTTGATAAATCTATCTCCTATCTTAAATATTTTTAAAAATTATGTAAAATTAGTAGTAAAATATTTTGTATCATTCGGATTGCATTATTATTCATATGTATGTATTATACAAATTGATAATTGTTAGATTAATATTACAACTACATCGAACTCGAAGTAAATTGAACGTTGTAATCGCTGATAAGACTGACAACGTACTCAGAATCGGAATTATCTGGAAATAAAACAAAAATTCTATAATAATTTAATGAAACAAACAATAAAACAAATATATAATATCACAAAGAAATATCATTTCATCATGTCGTTTTATGATATACTATCATATGAAAAGTTCTCTACCATTTTGCAATTTTCGCAATAATTAACAAGATAATTACTAAAAATCATCAAATATTGATTTTCAATAATTTTTTTACTGGAGCACTATCAAGGAACAAAAAAACAGCAAGAGACAAAAATTATTTATTTTCTTCTCATAGAGATCAAAGAATTTTTTCAGAATTTTTTATCAACTTTTTAGTATTGCATTTTCTTATATTGGCAATTATTTTTACCAACATAAGAAAATGCGGTACTAAAAAATTCTGCAAAAGTTCTGAGTTTTATGAAAAAAAAAAAAAAAAACAATTTTTGTTACTTGCTGTATTTCTGAAAGTTCTGTAAAGTTGATAGTATTGTATTTGAGTAAAAAATTATTGAAAACCAATATTTGGTGATTTTAAGTAATTAATATCTTGTTAACTATTATAAAAATTGTAAAATGGTAAAGGATTTTTCGACAGTTTAGTCCGCTCTATCCCAATGCGAAAGTTTTATCATTATTTATCAAACACTCTGTATATTATATACATATATATGGATATGTATATAAAACATAACTTGCTTTACTTAATTTGACTACTTGAAATTTCTTATTTTATTATTTCTAAAACTGTGAAACTTTTGCTGCGGTTTTCTCATAAAACTCATTTTTTCAAAATTATTTTAGTGTGACTTTTAAAATATAACAATCTGTATACACGCACGCATGTGCAATTTATGTAATAAAAAACAAATGAAGAAATGTAATAAATAACATCAGAATATATCTAATAATCCTTAAAGAAAAATACATAACAAATTTGAATTTTAAATAATGAAATTTTAAATACGCATAATAACGAGAGTAATCAGTTTTATGTTAAATTGTATATATGAGCATTATCTCTCTCAATTTCAATATTAATTATCTCAATTATAATTATTACAAATTTAATTAATTTATACCGAATAAAATCTAGGTCAATACGGATGTACAAGCGTAGATGACCGATAAACGGATCAGTTATTTATGTTACTTATTTAAATTAATTTATTCCATTTTAGTTAATTTATTTTTTGAAAGAAAAGATGTATGCAATCATCATTGTTGATCAAAATCAGATTGTCTTTAATTTCAAGTGATTAATAAGTTAAATCAAACTACTATATTATAGTTATCATCATATATACATCTATATAATAAATTATATATGTATATATTTTTAAATATTAAAATAATTTTATTGTAAATTTTATTTTTTATTTTTATATATGTGTATATATTTATTAAAAACGTTGTGATATTTATTCATGATGATTCACCTATCTTAAACATCTTTCTGTTCGACAAGATAATAAGTGACAGATCATTATTTGAAATTTATGAGATTTGCTCAAACATATGGAGATAGACATCGATATGAATAGATTAATTTGCAATCTCACAAAAATTATTATAATAGCACAAAAATTGTTGTGTTAAATTACGATTTATAAATCGTTGCATTCAATTAGGATTTCCAAATCGTTGCGTTAAATTAGGATTTCTAATTTTACGATGCCACGATTAGATCCATTTGTGAAATATTATAACTTTCAGATCTTTAAATTCATTTACAAAATCCGGTAAATAGAAACTTTAAATTTGAAATTAGAGAAACAGAACGATTCTCGCTTATTACACATTACGTATTTTGCTAATTGATGGAATCATTAAATTTAGATAATAAAATATATGAGTATATTACATCCACTGTATATACACCTAAATTTTTCAAAATCCGTTTATTGTACAAATAAAGTATATAAAAAATATTTAAAAAATTTTAACTGAGCTATACACGTATATTCTAATTATGGGTTTCAATATATATTTATTTTCATAAACTGAAAACATCGATACATGGTAAATTAAAAAATTATAATCGCAAACGTTGATTATATCTAAAATATATAGTGATCGTTCTAGCCTCAAGTCTTCCACTTCTGGTATTCGTGAATAAACATACGTAACGGACTGTTCTTAAGGCTGCAAGGCATTTCTTGAAGTGTGTGTGTGTGTGTGTGTGTGTGTGTGTGTGTGTATGTGTTTCGAGGGCTTGACGGAGATCATTATTACATTCACCGGAGCGCTCTGGCCAGCGCTCTGCGGAATCTTTACACTTCGCAATGCTTTTCAGTTCTGTTTTCCGCTTTCTATAAGACCAGAAAGAGCATTTACTTCTTTTTGCAATTCAAACAGAGATTTATACCGATATCTTGCCAAGAGTTCCATTTACTACGTGCAGTGTCCCATTTAAAATTACACTTAAACAATTGGAAAACAGTAGATTTCTTGAAAAAATTGGTTTATCAAATGAAAGTTGCTTAGTTTCAAAAAGAATCTTGATGAACAATATATTTTGTTTTAGATAGAATCATGTCTGAGATTTATAGGTTATTTTCATTTTTTTAGAATAAAAAAAATATATATATATATACATCGTTTTTAATTTATCAGTAAAAATATAAAAATAAAATCATTAAAAAGTGAATTTTGCAAAAATATTTTGTGTATATTTGTTTTGATTTAAATATACAGAATTTTTTGAAATAACGCCTACTAATCATACAGTAATATTTCTAATAAAAAGCTGAGACAAATCTTCTATCATTTTGTAATTTTTGCAATGGTTAACGAAATATTAATTTCTAAACATTGCCGAATAAACAAATAAAATCGATGTATAAGATAATTTTAAGATATCTTTCTATTCTTTGTGAAATATTTTGAAGATATTTCTTAAAAAAACTGTTAAAGATATCTTAAAGTCTTACAAGTCGATTTTAAACATTTTGCTCAATGGATAACTAAAATATATATAAATATTGCGAATATAGATATATACATATAATCTGGCTTAATATATTAATATATTCTAAATCATGATGTACGATGTACGGTATAAAATAATATCTCTGTAAATTATACGCTCTTCGACATTTCATAATATCATATTTTTACATGCAAAGTATTAAAAAAACTTTGCTTTAATGGCTTTAACTTCCTTTTTTCATTACAAGTAATAAGCTAATATGAGATTTAGTTATTATTATAAATATACCGTTGAACTTATCTTAACAGCAATTATTAACATACAATTAAAAAAATATAAGGTTCTAATTATATAATAAAATAATCTAAAATAAAGAAAATTGATTAATGGTTGAATTGTTTCATTAAATGTATTTGAGTTTTTTTATATCAATATACAGAGTGTTAGTTAAGTATGGAAACATGCCATACTCAACAGAGTGATTTTCTTTGGTTTATTTTAGTAAAAAAGTCCATATAAACATGTGTCCATATAAACATGTAAACGGCTTAGTTTCCGAAATACAGGTGAATGTTCGCAAATGTTTGACGAAACGGTAAATTGCGTTGAAGATATCTTCCTGCATAAATATGCTTTGCTTCACATGAGTTACCATTCGTACAACCGTAAACAAAGTGACAAAAGTTAAAATCAAAGCCTCCTAGATCACCAGACTTAAATCCTTTGGATTATTTCCTTTGGGGGTATCTGAAATCATTGGTTTATACTATATCATCCCAATTGAGAATGAGAATGATTTGAGAAATCGAATAGTTGCTTCATGCGAGATAATACGTAACACATCTGGTATCTTTGAGCGTCAATCTTTGAGAAGAAGGCTCGATGGATGTATCATGACGCAAGGTGGACATTTTCAACAATTCTTCTAATTGTTTTATTTCATCAGAAGAACTGAAGCCTGTTTTTGTTTTACTGTTTTTGACTAGTTCAAGCTGTATTTCTTTCAAATAAACAAATTATTATTACTACACGTTTAAATTTTTTTATTTCGGCACTAAGCCATTTAGGACGCATGTTTATATAGATTTTTTTACTTGAAATAAACCAAAGAATCGTACTCTGTTGAGTACGACAACATACTTAACTAACACCCTGTATAGTACACAAAATATACAGTACAGATGTGAACAAATTCTTGCAATTGTTAAATCAATTACCGCACGTTTAATTTTTTATTGATAAATAAATGTAAAAAAAATTAAAAAATATAAAAGAAAATACAATATAAAGAAAAATGCAATATAAAGACGAAACTCACCGATCCCAATTCTCGCTCACATTCATCGTAAATCACAAATTGTAATTTGTACAATTGTGTAATTACCTTTTATAATTATATGATTATAATATAAAAAAAAACACATAAATACAATTGAGCGCACAATCTTCGTTATACATTCATACTTTCTCGATTAAAAGTCCACGATCCACGGGAACGGCCGCGAATTAACATATCAGTGCGTTATCAGTGTCGAATTTTTTGACTCACATGATTCACGCATCACACTATCGAAAATGTGAAATATCTCTTAAATATTCTTACGAGCACTTTTTTCACGATTTTCGCGCGTTTAATAACGATTGCAAGTCGCGAATCCCAGTGTGAACTGACGAGCGTTCGATCAGCAACTGGAGTCATGCGTCGAAAAGTATACAGGTAGATTGCAGGTATGCTGCTCCTATCTGCTCGCCTCTACGTCTTTCCATTTCTTTCTCTTTCTCCCCTCTATTTCTTCGGTTCTCAGCTTCCTTCTCTCGCTCTTACTTGTCTGCTTTTCCTACCTTTGCCCCTTCCTTTCCGCGCCGCGGTGCGCTGGAATTCGCAAAATTGATCTCGAGAGATCGAACGCATATCTTCGTTAGTAAAAAATGTATTAATATACGTCCGCACGTATGCAAGTTACGCGATTGTAACGTATTCAGGTTTAGAACAGAAATTAATGACATTCTTGCTCAATATTTTTTAAAAGAATTAAAATTGTTCAGCAACCAGTTCTTTTTATTATGCAAAACATTCGGTCACTGCTATTGATAGTATAACTGGAATTCTTTTGGTGATATATACAGAAATAAATGAAAGACGTAGAATAAAACTTTAGTTTTATTTTTGGGTCTAATGACTTAAAAAATGGAAAGATTTATATTTTTGTACATTTCTTAAGTTTGAACATAAATTTGAAATATAAATTATATTAAAATGTTCGATTTTTTTATTTTAAAATTTACTTTTTTTTTTATTTTTCTAAATAAACATAATGTCTCATTTGCTTTAATAGCTTTTACTTCCTTTTTTCATTATAAATAATGAGCTGATATGAATTTGATTTAGTTATTATAAATATATCGTTGAACTTATCTTAACAGCGATTTATTAACATATAATTAAAAAGATATAAAGTTCTAATTAATAAAGTAATTTAAAATAATTTAAGTTAATAAAAAAATTATGCACTGAGAGAAAAAAATGGTTGCAATTACCATAATTTAATTATAATTTACCACTTTTTTTGGAACAATTACAAATTTTTATAGTTATTTTAACCATATAAGTATAATTAATCGTGTTATAATAATAATTGCGCAGACTGCTGGAAAATTTTTAGTTATATTTTACATTTTCAATTTGCTTCTTTCCCGCATGGTTTCATTCCGCGAAACACCCCGTATTTTCAGAGAAGTAATTTATATAATGCTTGATTCGTTTTTATAAGTCAATATTAATTTTTGAATTATAAAGATTTGATTAAAAGTTAAATGTTTTGATTAAAAGTTATGATGTGTTAAAAAGAAAAGCTAAAGAAGATCAGAAAGATAAAAAATATTCACTGAAATCAATTTTTCTCTTCTTTTCATTAGTCTTCTTTTATTTATTCTAACAGCACATGTATAGACTCAAAATGTCATTGCATACACACGAGATAAAATTTTCATTCTACTGCGTGATCGTATGGCAAATGTAAAATAACGGAGAAACAGTACAAGAAAGAGAGAGAGAGAGAAAGGGGGGAGAGAGAGAGAGAGAGAGAGAGAGAGAGACGTTAAGTATATACTATTAATATAATTAAGAGCGCTAAGAATAAAGAAGCTGAGAACGGAGGTGATAAAAAATAGGAAAGGTTGACTGCACTCATTATCCAAGTGTCTAAGTATAGTCTTTCAACCCGGAAACGCACATTAAAGCGTAGTTATTCCTGTCTTTATATGCATATACGTTGTAATTTATTAGATATAGCGAGATTAGTTAAAATCAAATTTAAATTAATGCAAGAAAGCATCCTACAGTATCTTTCATAAATAAATATAAAAAAAATAATAAATCATATGATTGAAAATAAAACAAGCGCTTTAAAATGTGATAGAAATCGAAACGTAAATGTGAAGCAAAAACATCTCGCATAATAATAATTTTTGTTTTGAATAAATGTGAATAATTTTTGAAGCTCATTCCATGTAGTTTAATTTATATCTCAGTTCAAAAACTAATTTTTCATCTTTTTCTAAATATTAGAAAAAAAAATGAAGAGTAAGTTGAATCGATATTAAAGTTAAATTTGTTTGGTAAAAACGGGCATGAGTATATCAAATATTGCTATTATTATTTAACCAAATGTAACATTATATTTATCTTTCACATTTTTTTCTCCAATTCATGTTTTTTATGACTCTAACTTCTAACTTTTTCATTATCAAATTCTCTTTTTGTTTCTCTTTGTATTTCTTAGAAGACAGGTATTGAAAAAATTAAATATTTTAGTTTAAAAAAAAAACACTTTAATATATATCTTAAATGTAAGTCTTAGTAATTATATAATCTCTAATATAATTCATTATAAAGATCAAAATTAGAAAAGAAATCGAAAAAGAATTTGAAGATAAATGCTGTGGGAAAATCTATGTTTTTTTTGCACATTGATTATATATACGAGAAATAATAAGCATCCGTTTTTTTTTCTTTTTAGTTTTTAAAAAATATCTAATAGCTAATTAGTTTTCTTTATGCGCTTTAAGCACATGGCAAAGTCTTTTGCAGCCTTCTAGAGCATATCTTTTCGCCTCGAGGCATTTGGTGGTCATACTTTCGTGTATTGCTACGAAATGTTTCTGCACGCAACTACAACAGAACTAAAAGCAAATGAATGCCGCGTTTCAAAAATATAGCGTTTAAAACTTTCTTGTTTCAACAATTCTCCTGTTTTCATAATAAATCACGAAAGTTTTTTGATAAAAGTGATTTTAATGTCTTGAAGAAATTAGGCAATAGGCGGATATTGTTTTCACTATAATACAGCATTTCTTACAACATAAAACTTTCTTCCTAATTATTTCCGTCTACTAACCACTACTTCCTAGTCGGAATAAATATTGTAATATTATAATAAATATTTTCGGATCTTTCGGTAAAGTATATAATATAACTGCTGGAAAGCTAAATGCCAGAGTACCAGATAAGACAAGTGTGCAAGTAATCCACAATGCATGGCGAATATAAGCAAAGCTGCGCAATGCCACGTAGTTGGATGCGGTTCGGCACACTGAAAAGTTAATCGTGCGCGCCTCTTTACGGTATTCTCCTTTACTGGTATACGTCGTTGAAATGTCTGCTCCTGTCTACGTGCAGCATACATTGCACATCATGCCCGGCCATTACCTCTATACAAGTATGTACTACATACAGTAAAAGCTTGCCGTATACAGTGCCGTATAAAACCGTTAACGTAAGATTTACGATACCGTGCATGGAATCTCTCACTTTTCATTATTCTTCCTGCAACAAAAAAAAAAGAAAAGAAAGAGAAAAATATGAAAAATGAATTTTGACGTTATAAACATATCAATCTCAAAATCAGGAACTTAAAAAAAAGGATTTAATATATTTGCTTAATTTTTCAACTTAAGCAAAAAAATTTTGTTCTTTTTTAAATAGTTATACATAAACATCTCTTAAAATATAAATTGCATTTTATTAATTAATGTCTCTATTTTTATTTTTTCTTAATTAGTGTCTAATAAATTTATTTTCTAAAGAAAAAGAATCCAAAAATTACGAACAGAATTTTTTCGTATATTGCATGAATTCTATTTCAATTGTGTTATTTGAATCTCCATAGTCGCAGAAAATTAAAACACTGTGAAAAAAAAATTTCAAGAAATTATATTATATTAGAGTAAAAAGAATTTTTTAATCTCGCGGGGATTCATATAGATTAACAAGTAATCGCATTGTCTAAATGTTAAATTGAAAATTATGAATTATTTTATAAAATATATTGATGAACAGATTTTCTCTTCGCGCTGTATTTGCTGCTACGTAATTATTCTTCTTATAACAGTATAGAAATACACTTATGTAAGTGTAAAATGGAACTCAAATTATATGAGCTCAGAATTTCAATGGCATTTGCGCCACTTTTAATGAAATCGCTATTCGTATCGATGCCTTCTGATTTTCTAATTACAGTTCATCGATGTAACAATAATTTGCGTAATCATCGATGCTATTAATTTGTATATTTTTATATTATAAAAATGGAAGTAATATCATAACCTTTGCTTTCACATCTGTTTTTTCGTTGAAGCTAAT